AGAATGAAGTGGAGCTGGGCGCGGTGGTAGTAGATATCGGGATCGTCCTTGTTGTGGGTGATGGCGAGTTCAAAGTCGTCGGCTGCGGCGTCCTTGTTGCCTAGAGTGGGTCAGAAACACCTGGGAGCTGCTCACAACAAAGACATGATGGACTTACCAAGCTCGAGGTGTAAGCTGGCGCGCTTGATATAGCTCTGCACCAATGATGGCTGCAATTCAATACTCTTGTTAAGATCAGCCAGGGCCGACTGGGCGTTGCCCTCGAGGTAGGTGAAGGTGGCTCTCATGTTGAGGGCCAACGCTTCGTATTCACCCAGATCACCGAGTTCCAAGGCCTTCTCGAAAGCACCAGCAGCTTCTTCGTAGCCATCTCCGGTCTTCTTGCTCATGGCGACCAGACCCTTGCGCAGCTGACCTTTGCCAGACTCCTCACTGAGATCTGCGGACTCGTCAAGGCCTTCGGGAAGAGACTGGGGGCGGAAGCTCTGGAGGTAATTGGACACGAAGGTAGGGCTAGGGAGTTTGCGACCCTTGGCTTCCAAGATAGCCTTGGCTTTCCTCTCTGCGACCTTCTTGAGAAGTCTTTCCAGCGCGTTGCGGCTGACATCATTGGAGAATCCGTCAATGATGCAGCTGGCAGTGAAGTCGAGAAGGGCCTCGCTGTACTTCTCGAGGTGTTCGTATGCAATAGCTCTCCTGTTTAAGGCCTTGACGTACTCGCTGTCCATTGCCAGTGCAGCGCTAGTGTCCTCAACGACCTTTTCCCACTCCGAAAGGACATTGTAGCAGGCAGCGCGGTTCGAGTAAAAGACAGGGTCGGGTTTACAAATGATCGCCTTTCCGTAGAGGTCGATGGCTCTGTTGTAATCCTTGGAGCCATAGGCCTTGTTTCCAGCGGCCTTGAGCTTGGCAGCGTAAGCTTTCCGGGTCTGCGATAACAATTGTGAGCATTCGAGCAGCGGACGCCAGGAGAAGCAGGAAGGATAGGATCAGCAACTCACCTCGTCCGACAACTGATCGACAGTTGCCTCATCGACCTCAGGCAGCTCTTCCGAAACCTCCTCGGCCTTCTTGGGAACTTGTTCTAGACCGTTATCAGCTCGATACTGTGTTTAGAGGGTGCGCAAAACGCTGTCGGATTTAGCATACCCTCTTGAACGGTGGCGGTCTTTGCCTTCTTTTCCTCCTCCGCCTTCTTCTTCTCCTTGCGTCGTTGGTTCTTGCTCTTCTTCTTTTCTGTGGGAGCAGGTGCTGGGGTGGTCCGGCCGGAGTCGGAAAGGTAGTATACAACGCCTGCGCTGGTCACGACCACGGCAACACCAGCAATGGTATAGACCAGCGCCTTATTTTCCGACACCCATTTCGAGATACGGTCCCAGACTGACGCGGATGATGAAGCAGGGAGGGAAGCTGTGTCAACAACGACGTTCTTGACCGGCTGGGGTAATGGCGATTCGCTCGACATGATGACCCGGCAAAGAGGAACCTGAATTCTGAACTCTGCATAGCGCAGGGAACGACAGTGAGCAACCTAAAAATGAACAATTCGGGAGAAAGCAAGAACTGGGGTAAGTAATTGCAATTAAATAATGACATACCGGTCCTTGATGAAGGGTAGGGTGCTTGTCAGCAAAACGCTGCTCTTTTTTAGGCTTCGGAGAAGGGAGGGTGATGGGGAGAGATGATGCGGCCCTGAAAAAGTTATGCGTTTCGATGTTCCAAGTTCCGGCGTACTGCAGCGCCCTTCCGAGCTCTCGAGCACACCAGGCCAATCACACTCTCCTGCTTACTTCTACTCCACCATATATCATCATCGCCTGAGAAAACCGATCTCTAGTGAATAGAAATGATTTATGAGAAGGCACAGTGTTGATATGCTAGAGAACTGGCCTGTCACCATTAGTGACTTTCTCGTTGACCATCGCATACATTTTCTGTCTTCATTCCTCCTTAGCGCGCTCGCGGTCTACTATTGAGCACAGCATCCATGATTCACTTGCTCTGCGTCCATTCCGTTATTAGCTGATGCAATGGCTACAATTACACAATCGCAAGCCTCGGAGTCCTTCCAGATAATTTCCTCTCTTCGTTACGAACCTGCGCTCCCCGAGTTGCTCAAAGGACAACCCACCGACGCCTACCCAGATCCCCTGCGATCACCTTACTACCTTCTCCCCTATCACCAGGGACGACTTCTAAAAGCTGCAGAATGTTTCGGGTGGAGCAAAGCGGCTACGTTCCTACAACAAGATGTCGAGTCCTTCGTCGAACACCTCAACAGCTTCATACCAGACCGGACGAAACCTTGGCGCCTCCGCATTGTCATTGACAGAGATGGCGCATGCACCGTCGAGGTCAACGCAGCCCTGCAAATGGATCCGCTAAGCCTTCTCCTACCTTCCGAAATGAATCAGACATCCACGCCCTGGCGTGTTGCGGTAGACTCTCAAAGAACCGTGCCGTCGCCCTTCACAACGCATAAGACTACATCCCGAGACGACTACACTGCTGCGCGACTTCGAGCCAAGATCACCTCCCCGCAAGATCCGGCTGAAGTACTAATCGTGAATCCTCAAGGGGAAATTATGGAGGGGAGCATAACGACTCCATATTTCAGACGACGGATGTCCGCATCCACACAAGCGAAGATTGATCAAGAGGATTCCGGGCCGGCCTGGATCACGCCACCTCTCTCTAGTGGAGGTAACGCGGGTACAACAAGGCGATACGCTCTGTCTCAGGGGTTCTGCTCCGAACAGGCGATCACTGTCCCCGAGCTGATCGATGGTGAAGAGTGTTGGCTCAGTAATGGTGTGAGAGGATTCTTCCGTGGCAGAATCCTGCTGAACGAGTCTAAACCATGAGAGATGGATGTTGGTCAAATCTACCGTTAATCCCAAGATTGCCCATGGCCAACAAGGCAATTTGGGTAAAACTGTTACGCGTGTCCGTATTAAATCGATCAAGGATGAAACGCTGAGACGGTCAAGTTCATTCATATCTATCATCGCTTCATGTCATTTGCTGGGCCACTCATGCTTCCAAGGTGGACTGTACGTCCCCACGACCAAAATTTGGAAGCAGGTGCTGGACGAAACTGGCAAGTGCACGCTCAAAAGCAGGGCTATTTATTTCAAAGTGAGGAACCTCTATTTCTTCTCAACAACGATGGGGTTAGGGTTGCCTTTCCACTCGAGGGGCCGGGTCCGCATGAACTCGGCAACTACCTCGTCGGTGACCTGGGCCCTGCGTTCCTGGAAGGCCTGGACGTAAGCCTGTAGCTCCGCAATACATTTTTGCTTGACCTCGCCGGTAAGCATTTCTCCCTTCTCATAAGCCACACGGATTCGCTCCAGTTCCTCATCATCTTCCATGAAGAACGTGAGGTACTGGAACGGGACGTCATCCTTGGTGTTGGCGCCCAGTTGACGCTGAAGCTCAGCTGTATCCTGTCCTCCGGAGAAGGCGTACTTGTTGATTTTGTTCTTGATTCGATTGGGCGCATCGTTCATGTAGATGGCGGATGTCTCGACGCTCGCAGACATTTTCGAGCCCGGGCCTTGAAGAGCGGGAAGGAAGATAGCATGGATCAACGAGGGCTTCTTGTACTTCATCTTCTCGGCGTGTTCACGGCACTGACGGAAGTACGGGTCCTGGTCGATTGCACAGGGAATCAGGCAAGGAATCGACGAGACCTTCTTCCTGTCGGTACCGAAGATGTGAGGGAAGCTAGTTGCAAATGCAGTGGCCGATTGAGTTGCGCAGAAGTGGAATTCTCCGACGTTGTTGCTGTCATTGAAGCCAAAGGTTCCTCGGACGGAGTTTATTGTGATTCTCTTCGCCAATCTGCAGATGTTCTCATAGAATGCGCCGCCAACGAAATCGAAGTCGCTGAAAATAAATGTCTTCTTCATATCAAACCCCACTGCAATGATGTCCTTTGCATTTGCTTTCGCATATTTCTTAGCATCCTCGACCTCGATCTTTTGCGAATGCATGTATTTCTAAAAAACTGGTTAGACGCAAAGGTAGAACTCGTCATAGACGTAAAACTCGCCTCGTCGTCTGTAAGCATGATAACCAAAGGGCAATCAAAGACATCCTGCAGCCACCTGGTAAAGTCATCCTGGTCAATTCGTTTTCAGAAGCGTCAATTGAAAAAAGGACGACGTACTTGGTGAACTCAAAGGGAATTGTGTGTCCGACGTGCATGCTGTCGCTGCTAGGTCCACGCCCAGTGTAGAGGTAGAATGGTTGCCCCTTTTCATAGTGATCAAGAATCAGGTTCAGGTCACGGTGGCTGAACACAATCCCTCTGCGCATAAATCGATGAGGCCGACGTCCAGTTACTCTTTCAAAGCGCTCGAGCAGTTCTTTGGAGATACGAGTCGCTCCAAATTCCCGAACCAGTTTATCATAGTCGACTGGGAGAAGCTTGCCCGACTCGTCGACACCACCGGACACATCGAAAGGAGTCACAATCTGAGCAACTGCCTTGGACGCGGGGGCCTTCTCGGCCAGGCTCAATGTGGTGAGAGCGGGGGGCTGTCCAGGTTCGTCGGCCATGTTTAATGAGGGTTCCAGTATCAGCGAGATAAAGATATAAAACAGATGACCGAGAAGGCGACCAATGCGCTATGGCGAGTCACTCTGAGTAGGCGAAGATGGTAACAATCTTAGAGGACTGGTCAATAAATTTCTCCCTGCCCCTCCAAACCATTTGTTGGGTGACTCAGGCCTGCAGGCAGAATTCGGGCGGTGTGCTTAGCGGATAAACAAATCACGTGAATGTCTTGGCATCCCCGCGTTACAAATCGGGCTAGCGCCAGAGCTCCCGGAAGCTGACAGAAATTCTTCTAACAGGAGTTGCTTTCCGACCACTGAGAAAGGTCAAGGATCAGACGAGCACCCATCTTCCTCAGACGTCCGATTCCTCCATCGCCACATCAGCTCTAGCATCGTCATCTCGATTCTACGACCTGCTATATGCATCAGCAACCATGAAATTCTTCGAGAATGTCTTTACGTACGATTATTCCTTCCCTGCCGTCTCACTCGCCTACTTTCTCCGTTACCCGAATCCGTATTCTCGCCATGTTCTGACCACCGATGTGATCGACCGTTATGTGGATCCGAAGACGGAGCGACTTCATACAGTTCGTCTCCATTTGAAGAAGTCAAAGGTCCCGTCGGGTATTCTGAAATTACTTCCGAAAGGAATTGGGGGCTCGGACAATTCTGGCCAGAGTTATATACTTGAAACTACCGTCGTTGACATTAAGGAAGGATGGATGGAAACCGAATCGCGGAACATGGAATGGACGGGTATTCTGAGTGTTGTTGAGAAACAACTCTACACGCGGCAACCAATTGAGGGTTCGCTCGAAAGCCTACAGGGGCTTTCACTAGATGCTCAGAGAAACGAACAGACCCAGGTGAAAACCACGGTCACCTTCCGCTCTCGACTGGGACAAGGAAAGTTTCTTGGAAAAAAGAAGACCATCCCTACTGCCGATCAGACCATTGAGTTTGATGAAGAGACGCCTAAGAAGGGCTTCTTCTCGTCGCTTTCCACTGCTGGAATTCAGAGAACCATTGAGCTCATTGGCGTGAGCCGAACCCGAGATGCAGTGCTCAAAAGTAAGGAAGGCATGAATGTCGTCCTGGAGCGGCTGCGGAATGGTGGCATAGTCGGTGTCCTTGAGGGGATGCGGCAGGATCGGGAAGCAGCTTTCGGACCCGATGGTCCGTGGAAGCGTGTCTGGCTTAGAGGGAATGGCCTCAAAGATCGAGCCTTTACGGATGATGACGACAACTGATTGGCACATGTGTAGGATTAGCCACGGGGCAACTTCTTTTCTTGCAGCATTCGAGCGTGGGGTTTCGGCGTTTGGGACCTGTCGAATTTTGGAAACTCTCCTATATGTTTGACTTGCTTTACCGTCATCTTCATCCCAATATCCTTGTCATCCAATTGAAGTGTTCACATGATGAAAGTGATGAACTAAACATGTATATTAGCTAGCCATACGGCAAACGTGGTGACTTATTCGATTCGCGATAGGCACCTATTGTACAATACATCTGCGGCTCACTCTAATTTTTTTCAGTTATCTTTCACATACATGCACTTAATCTAAGATTCAAATTCTTTGACTGGAAAACAAAAGAGTCTTAGATTTGTCTTGTTCTTCAACTTGCTACTGTAGTGAAGTAGATCTTCATTAATACTTAGTCATCCTCACACAGACTGGGTGGAGACTAGCTACATTCTTATAGATCTCGCCCTCCCTTTATCGATCGGACACCTCCATCGTTGTACCTCATCACATCTGACAATTCCATTGGTACAGTGTGATTTACAATTCCATTAGTACAGTGTGATTTTCATCTCAAGATGAGTTGTTCGGCAAAGTATAAGAGCTGGAATGACTGAGGCACCCCTTGCCTGTCAAATGTAGGTCATCTACATCGGACCTGTTCATGACATTGACATCGGGAACTTCCAGATATATCAAGCCAGTGAATTTGACTGAGAGGCTTCATTTAGTTCATTAAATCACCAACTCCAAGAAAACAACCTATTCTCCTTGAGCAGTCAAATCGCTGCCGTCATGTCACACAGTCCCTCACAGCCATCAGCTTTATCATTACCCACAATGTCTACGCAATCTCTACCACTTCGGAATCAAGCTACAGGCAGCTGTTCTGACGAGCAAAGTAACAATGCCACTACCCAGAATCCAGAGGCTGCGATAGATCCTACAGATCTGCAGCATCTTGGCGAGAACCTAAAGATACTCCCAGTGCCATCAGTGAACGACGACCTCGAAACAACGGCCAAGAAGATGAAAGCATTAGCCAAAGTGGTCAGCGACGGTAACAGCCTAGCATTGTTCACAGGCTTGCAGATGGCATCCCAGCACTTGAGTGATCCAAAAAGCATAGCCGTATCACAGATGACAATAGATGAACGAGTGCAATACGAGGCATGGCAGAAGGCCAGAAAAAATGGCACTATGAAGAACCCCGGCGACCAGGACATTGAAGAGACGTCTAATCGAGGTGGAAAGGTCCCAGCCGTTGGCTTCGACTGGGTCAAAAACGTAGCTCCAGTGCCTGATGGCGCTCAGAGTCTGAAGAAGTTCACCGAGCGCGCAGCAGCAATGGACATCATCTGGGACCACCAGGGCGCAACGCCGGAGAACGCAGCGTGGCTTACCTTTAATCAGCCAGCTATTCTGCCTCTTATCAAGGCTGTCTGCAGGGTTCGCACTGCCGAGAAACACCGCAAGAATAATCGGCAGCCCAGTATGCGCGGGCTGACGGACATGGAGGCAGCAGAGGTTGAAACAGTGCGGAAAATCGTGTCTCTTGCGGAGAGAAACCGGACACGAGAGCTGGAAAAGATCCGGAAGCTGACCAGATCCATTACGGAGTCAGCTGCGGTGATCAAGGCCCGGGTCAAATCTCTTGAAGATAAAATGAACAGCTGATCCCAGGAGATACTGCATCCGAAGTCATCATTATGGAGTTTCCTGGGAAAGTTACTGGTCTTGAGGGCATATTCTTCTGATATAATTCTGCTACCAGCATTGTCCACCAGCATCAATGAGGTAATATTTCTTCTCTTCATTCACCTTTGATCTCCTATCCCAAGTACACCGGCAAAACCGTGCTGCCTAAAGTCAATTTACGAACATACTTTGGATTTCTTTGAGAAAGCAATGCACACAGTGGCTAAGGGTTCACAATCCTCCGTAGAAAGACCTACAACTCTAACCCGCCTCTCAATTGGATAGCGGCGTTATCGGATAGGGTACTCCGTACCTCCGCCATCAACTTCAAGGTCCCACTGCCAAACTCCCAAACCAAAACTGGATTTCTCACACCAACCCATTTGAAGTTTTGAAGCCGAGCTGCTCCAACACTCGAACGGGTCATTTCCGCTGAACCCTTGAATTCTATTGCCTGCTAGACTAGAATAGGGAAATGTGGCTGACTGGCTGTCCTTGGCTAAACAGCCATTTTGTTGTTGGTGAACTGGGTGGATAGTCATAGCACCAATTTAGCCTGTAAATGTGAGCCTATGACGCACTAGAGGCTGCGTTAAAATAGCGGATGACTTCATGTCTCTTTTCGCTACCTTAGTCTTGGGTGCATTCCACCTAGCAACGTGAGATTGGCTTGCCTATTAATGGATTTGAAACATTCAAGGTTGAGGTGCAGATTATGCTGTTGGTCTACAACTAAGACATATCTTCTCATTAGGCTATCTGAAAGGGAAGAGGAGAAACAGGGGTGTCAGGATGGTGACACTTGACAGTTGACAGTGGGTCATCTGCGACAATTGAGTCAAAATCGGCACGGTAAAAAGTGCCATCATAAGTAGAGTCCTTCGGAGTTTTGAGGGTGAACCAGTGGAAAAGGGTCAATCATTGTTTGGGTCAGAACAGTCTGTACTCATCTTGACATCTTTGGAACCAGATCAGGTTCGGAATATCATTGGCTTGGGAAATCTCAACATCCTTCTTCGGGGCTTCTCTATTTCTAAGGAGAAACGTTGGCTTTCTGGGTGGATCTAAGCTGATTCAGTTCAAACCGCATAGATATATCCTGGTGGGCTTGACCAGCTGCTGTAAAGATGACTGTATAGAATTTAATGCTCAGCTACATACAGAGCTGATTTGGCAGGTAATTCGTTAGCAACCACCTCTCTAAGTGGCTCAGTAATTCCCAACTTCCCACTACCCTATCAGCAAGCATTATTGATGAGGTAACATCCAGTTACCTAGACACAAGAGAATCACTGCGGCTTCATGCATACAGACCATCTCCCGGTCGATTGACTGAGGATAACAGTTCCAGGTTATATTACTGGCTTGTTCCGATCAAAGTATCAGCCATATGAACTCAAATCCTACCTACACAACAGGGGCACCGACATCATCTCCTCAGCGCTTGACTGTACTCCGCCGATTTCCTCGTCGTAAAATTACACAGTACCAACCAGCGTAAAAAGAAAACAATCAAGTTGCGGTGGGGGGGGCTGGCAGGCTAAACACACCAAGTGGGACGCCCAGGATCAAGTACCAAATATGTGCATACTCTGCACCCTGAATGGTCCACTCTGGCACACTGTCTGAGATCATCCACCAGAACTGCCACACTTGGCCAGGAATATGCGGGGGCAGCCCCCGTTAGCGTGTCTGGTCAAGCAGGACTAACTTGCTAAGAATGTCCACTGATAAATCAGGGAGTGCTGGAATTGTGCAAGTGGAAAAAAAAAATGGAAAGGCACCTTTTCGGGGTTTCTTGAGCCCTGCGGCCAATCCCGGGCTCCACAAGCCCTGGTTTTTGTGGATTATTATTATTGAATTTGTGGGAATAATAATCCGAGTTCAAATTTTGAAAAATGATCTGTTTGAATCACTGACCGTCTGAGAAGGTCAGCAGGGTCATCATCATCCTTTCATCGGCCAATCTCGGTCTGTTGTCGTATTTGCAATTGCATATGATCTCTTGTCTCTGATTTCCCTGGAGGTACTTTGTAGCAGGTAGTGTGCCTCCCCGTGGCCTTAATACAAGGCTTGAAGCTTTTGTGCCTCAGCCTCCTTTAACCCATAATAATCTCCTCAGGAGTCAATCTTACTCATCTTCCTGGAGGTATTTCCCCATCTGCAGATTTGTTTCCTCGTCAGGCCATGTTCTTCCACCATTGGGCTTCCTAGCACTCAACTCACTCCTGTAACATCAAACAAACCCTTGTCCTCCTCTCCGTCAATAACACCGTTGCTTGGCCACCGTCTTGATTTAAGTCCTTGGCCTCCCCTGGGCGGTGGAAAAAGTGGTTCGCGAGAGCACCAATAGTCGCCATTTCCTTGCACGACAACAGTTTAGACACATTTACACAACGGACGGTCTGCGCCTGTGCCGTCTAAGCGCGGAGGGGACTCTCACTAGCATCTCTTTCTGGTTTCTGCACTCCCTTTCTCGTTTTGCCCCATAGCAATAGTGGTATTAGTGGTTGCGGGCTTTATCATGCTTTAAAGGGTCTTTCGACTTATTTATCTCCTCCACTTGGCCTTATTTTCGCATTTATCCCTCCGCTCCTTGTTCCGTCTATCCCTTCAACAACCTCTCCGACCGACCGGGTTCGTCAACAACCATAACATCAGCAACACGGTAATGAGCATGCCAGTCGTCTCTGGCCCCTGCTCTGTCATCAGTGTCATCTAGATATCATCAATATATCGATCGCTCTCGTGAACTCGCTTTGTTCTGACGGTCGTGATATTTATCAATGTCCCTACAACTCGGATCAGCCTCGGTCTTTCGACCTGGCTGGATGCTTTTAATATTGGTGTTGGTCGCTTTGCCGTCAGCCATCGCCCAGTTTTGCACCTTTTGGGACGGTGGCTGCGTCGATCCTCTCGCTCAGACAGCCATCAACTTCGATTTCCCTCCTCTATTCCTTGATGATATCACTCTGTACTATGGCTTCGACGCGAATCCCTCGGGCAAAGGGCAAGAGCCTATGGTCAAGGCCAGCTTCTGGCTTGCGTACGACCCGCATCGCATCGACAACTCCGTCATTACTGCAAATCGAACCTCCGAGATTGCCTTCCGGGTAGGAAATCTGACAGGGACGCCCTCTGGACCTAGTAACGGCTGCGATGGTGTTTGGGGACCTCAGTGTACACACGACCTGAAGGAGTTGCTTAAAGGGGCCATGTATGAATTGACGGCCAAGGGGGACTATACGTACCCGCTCCAAACCGTCATCAGTCAAATGCTGGCCAATCCACCTGTGCTCTCT